TTGTATCTGAAAGAGTGATTTTTATTTCAGTTCTGATGAAGGGTCGTGGACCCGAAACGTTGACTCACTTTCCTTTCTCCATAGATGCTGCCTGACCTGCTGAGTTTTCCCAGTTCTCTGTTATTGTTTCAGATTAAAGGGCTGATTGTACTTACTACGTATCACATTGCCTACCTCCCCTCTATCTCACACCAACGCTACCAAAACTCTCATTTGTGCCAGTGTTACCTCCCAACTTAACTTTTGAAATGTACTCCTTATTGTTCCGGTCTCATTAATTCAAGCGGCCTCGCCCACACCTAACTCTGCATGCAGTTCAACCAGGCCTTACCAGGCTCCATTGGCTGCCAGCAGATGAACTTCAAGGCCGTCACCCTCATCCACAAATCTCTGATCTCCTAGCACCTCTGTATCCCGGTGATCATCCCCTACCCCACATTTCTATTTGCCCCCCGCCCGACCCTGTAACAGCCAAACTTAGGCCTGCTCACCCTAAAAAAAATTCCATTGTATCATGAAAGAGTAATTTTTATTTTAGGAGCGATGAGTCTGTACACTATCCTCCTGGATGGGGGAGGGGTAAGATGGGACCCTTTGGAGCTGAACTCCATGGTGACATGCCTTGCAATTGAATGTCAAAATCGAGCCAGGCCTCTGTGGCAGTCTTGGTAGTCCAGTTCCTGAGCCAGGTGGGTCTGCAGTATTCTAGGGCACTGCTGATGACATTGCTGTAGCCCAGCCTGGCTTATCGGAAGGGCAGACCAGTCTCTGGGGGCAGGCAGTCATCCTGCTTAGCTCTTGTTAACCCTGCAAGCCAAAGCCCTAACAGGTAGGGTGGTCCTAGCAGCAGAAAAGCCTGCCAGACAACAATATCAATGGCAAGCTACGCGGTTTTAGCTTGTTAAGACTCCAGCAGTACCCAACACACACTATGGGCTTCACAAGCCTTGGCTCTTGCTAACCTGCACCTAACACTTTCCGGAATGAGGGAAGCAGGATGAGTCCCTCCAGGGAGAGTGCGCATTCCATTCCAACAATCTATCTCTGGGATTTCCATGTGTAGGTGGGATGCATGGAAATCTCAGTTTGGTTTGGATACTCTTAAGCATGGTGTTGGGCTTCTGCATGACCCTTAGCTAACCCCCACAAAATGGCATTGTCACAATTCATCTGAAGATTTCCCAGGCAAAAAAGACCTGCAAGGGCAACATATGCAATCTTTCTGTCCTTGGCTGGCTATTTTTACGGTGAGCAGGGACTGGCATTTTTCCTAGCTCAAATTGCGCCTGGTAGTGAATCTTTTAATTGCATTGGAGTGCTGGGATTAACAGTCAACACCAACATGACGACCAACCCCCATTCAACACATTGAGAGTTGGCTAACATGGATTTATCACATCATCTGAGAAGTCCTTTCTGGCCGGGAGAGTTGACGTAGCAGCTTTTCAGAAGACTGTCTGAAGAAATAGAAATTCTTTTTCAGGTAAGTTCATTTTCCCTTAAAAAAATAAGTGTCTGTGTGTGGGGGGGCTTAAAGTGGAAAAGTACCGTGGATTGAAAGTACATCCTTCTACGCAATTGTATTCTTTAGCATCAGAAAGCAAATAATTTTGCTCAGACAGGTTTTTCTATTTTTTCTTGTTGTGGCATCAGTGAATCTCATTCCATCTTTGCCAGGTCTCTGGACTAACCACTTCCAAAGAAAAACGATCAGTTTTTCAATAGGAGCATCGAATGATAGCAATAAAGATTCACCATAGGGTAGCTGTGCTCGGTATTCGATCTTGTCAGGTGTCGGGATTAATAACTCCTCCCATCAGTGGACAGATAACCCTTAGAAAACACTGTAAATAAAACCACTACATGCTGCAAAACCTATCTTGATAATTCCTTCAGGTGCTTAAAACATCTGCCCTAATAACCTTTTAATGCGTAGTTGAAATCTTGGCTTTTTTCTCTGACCATTCAAGCCAGTCAATACCAATACAAAACCAAGATAAACTGACATATCCCTGGGTCTTCCTTATTTGGTTCAACAAAGTGCATTTGTATAGTGCCACTCATGCAGGGTAGCTTCCCAGAGCGCTTCAATTCAACTTAATTTGAATATTCATAGAGCAAAAATAAATCTTCATCATTAAACCAATCTGAACTATTAACTTAAGAGGATTATGAACTGTTACTTTGAAATGCTGTTGTAAAACCAAATGGAATTGGCACTGCCAGGATTTGATATTCATTGCATCTGTTCTAACCTGTAACAATTATCCACCATTGGTCTAAGTCGCTGCTCCTGATAAGACAATTTGCTTTGGCTTATTCTTTTTGTGAAAATGTTTTGAATTAAAAAAACATGTATCTAATAAACAGAATATTAATTAAGTTGGACAGGTTGCATTATAGCTGAAAAAACTCAGCTGAGGCCTCAAACCTTTTAATCACTACCTCCAGTAATGTTGGAACTATTTTGAATTATCTCCACAATAATTCTTATTGCTGAAACCACTGAATAATATGTTACAGAATTGATTCAAACCTCTCCACTGCATTGTTAAAAATAAACATAAAATAGTAAAATATGAATCCAATTTCAGGAATTTTAAACAAGAAAACACAAAAACACAACTGCAACAACAATGGACTTATGACACTTTATACTACAATTTGTAAATTAGAATGGATAATGTAGCAACAGGATGTGAGGTCTTAAATGTGACTACGTAGAAATCCATTACTGTCCTCTATACAGTAACCGTCCAAGATTATAAAAGAATGCAAGGTTTTAATTTTTAGCTCAAACTTTTAAATTCAGTTGTGTGAAGCACTTTGAGGCATCCTCCAGACATGAAATATACAATTTGAAATATCATTGTGTAACAAACATATTTGGAGTGAAATTTGCAATGATTTACAGAATGATTTCTAAACACAAACCATGTGGGAACGTTGACATCCAGGCCGACTGTCTGGAAATCTGGCCAGCTACCAATCTCAGTTTTGACTTCCATGAAGTTGGATGAGAACTAAAGGAGGCTCCTGGCGTCTGACAGCAAATCTTGCAAATCAAACCCCATTATTGTGAAACAGACTCTACTCACATCTAGTGCATCATTTCTTACATAAGATTGATTCTTGATGTTTCAACGAAGAATGCTGGCAGTGAGAAATGTACAACTTACTACAGATTTTAGAAACATAAACCCAACAATATTTGTTCTCTCATTGTTATTCTATGTGATCATATGTATTTATGGTTCTGTCCCTGAGTTAATTTTTTGTTTGACTATAAATTAGTATCAGGTATGTAATGGTGCAAGTGGAAAGGTCCAATTTCAAAACACGAATTTTAAAAAAGGCTGCAAGAATTGGAGATTTAATAGTATTTGTTCTAATCTGGTTCATCCCATAAATGTTCCACTCTCCAAAGAGAACATGAATCAAATTATTCCAGGTAATTTTCCCCCTTGAACAAACTAAAGCAATCTATGCATGACATAGCTCAGTTATTTTCAGCTTTGACTTAAGCTGGGTATAATCTTAAATTAATTACAGAATGATAGAACTCCTTAAAAGTTACAGTTGTAAAGTCAAAGCAGAGGGGGTAACTCACCGATGAGTGAGTTATGGCAATTGTTTCACAAGTGTGAAAGACTTATAACTCACTAAGATATGATGGAATATCCTAGGAGTTCAAATGCCTAGAAATAACCATCACAAGTGAGATATTAGTTTGTTCTGAGGGTGCCCATCTTTTGATAGATCTGAGGCATTTCTTTAAATCATTTCTTGAATTCCATGCACCGCTGGTAACCACAAATGCCTGGGTGGAAGTTCTAAGACTGCAATTCAATCAACAGGCTCTAATAATAGGAGTAAAGCTTGAGCAGTTCATGAATCTCAGCAGACATTGAAGATTGAATATGCAGTTTACTCGTCATTTTTACAATAATATGCTTCAGCTGCTGACTTCACAACACACAGAGCTGCAATAAGCTGCAGATTGCCCTGGACTTATGCAAGGGCAATCGGGTATAAATCACCAGTGTGGAATTACTGTACTTTTGAGCTAATATAGAACTAAATCTTCTCTCCTCCTTCCCTTTTGAACGGTCTTACTCAGTATTAGACAAAAAATATAACACTCCTACTAGTGAAATTAAATTAATTATCGTTCTTACAAAATGGTTCAAAATATTACCTCAAATGGTTACATCAATGTGGGCTATTTTATGCATTTATTTAAAATAGCAGACTAAAAACATTAAAACGTTTGATATTTTAAAAAAGGAATTGTTATTTTGTCAATGACAATGTTTCCACCCACAAAATTGTTTCTTTCATGCCTGTGTACAATAAGTAACTCACATCCCTGCACCATGATCCCATCATGTTTAATGGTTATGAATTTATACCCAAATTAATAACGTTTTTCCCCCTCAATATCAATTTTTAAAATACTGCTTCGAAAGTAAACAGTAATAATAACTTTAATAATCCTTGTATTTGATATAGCGCTTTTCACGTCGGGAGGACGTCCCAAAGCGCTTCACAGAACACACTGTAAAGTGAATTGACCGTATATTTGTGGGTGAACGCGGCAGCCAATTGCGCACAGCAATGTCCCACAAACAGTCATGGATTCAAAATGACCAATTTATTATTGTTTTTTTTTTTGGAGGGATTATTATTAGGCGTGTGGAGTAAGGAAACTTGCCCAAGGTTTCGCCCTGCCGGGAATCGAACCCAGATCTCTCACTTGCAAAGCGAGTGCTCTAACCACTGAGCTACAGGACTCCACGATCAAAACACTGAAGAGATACTAAATTCAGATTGATATGGCACNTTTTTTAAACAAATTAACTTGCCATCATAATAGTAATCCTTGCATTTGATATAGCCCCTTATCATGTTGTTGAGACATCTCAAAGCGCTTCATAGTAGTCCAAAGAAGAATATTCATTTTACTCTCACAACAAGAGTAAATACATGTGCACACAGAGTAAAGCTTTACCAACATTTTATTTTTTTTCAGAGCTCCAATTGGAGAAGGTTATGCAAGTCTATCATATGAAGAGACAGGAATCCAATTGTCCATCTCAATGATGATGATGTATCTGTTTAAAGCGAAGGCCGCAATAACCACAAGTTCCAACTTTTGTATCTTTGTCCTAGTTGAAGAAGAAAACAAATCAAATGAGGAGCACATCAAGAAACACAGATATCCCTATAATCTGATAATGGCTATTCATTTTCATGAATATATGTCATTTAAAATAATAATTGCAATATTGATAAATGTAGCTACCAAACACTTTTCCAATTTTTGTCTATTCAACAAGTAAACCTTTTGATAGCGTGGGTAGTGAACATATCAATTCATTAATTATAGATATTAATTAGATATTAAAAGTATTAATTAGTTTATGTTGATCATTTCAAATGAAAATAATTTGTGAGCTATAAGCATCTCACTGCAAGTTTAACATTCTTGTTAGTACATAATACATAACCTTGTAATTTGTTTAAACTGGATTTTCAAAATATATCAATAGTTAAGCATAGGTCTCAATACTATAATATTAAAACTTTAGGAAATTAGAACCAAACAAAAACAGATTTCAGTTTGAGCTAAAAACCAAAAGATCAACCTAAACAGTTTCTGAAAATGGTGACATAACCCTTGAATTTGATACAATATTAATCCTTATATTTGGTATACCACTATTCATGTCAGGATATCCCAGGATTTTACTTTAAATTGTGTTTTGTGGGTGAACGCAGCTGCCAATTTGCATGCAGTAATGTCCCGCAAACATCCCTGAAACAAATAACCAATCTTATTTAGTGTATTGTTGATAAGGAAACTCCCCTCTCTTTTTGAATAATGCCATGGGATCTTTGGACAAGGTGATGGCACCTCAGTTTAATGTTTCACCCAAAGGATGTACCTGATCTACTCAACAAACACTTACCAAGTTTATATACACCTTAGGATGTCCGAGGGCTCCACCACCACCATCACAGGAAACCACTCTATCTGCTACCTCAGTAATCGGTTGCTCAGCGATTAGATTAATAGCAAACTTTTCATTGACCTACCAAAACAAATGGAAAGAGTTTAAGGTTTGACACCCAGTTCCCTCATACTGGCTTCATCAAAGTTTACCTGCATTACTGAGTCATGGCGCAATGCAGATTTTATATCTGTGACACATTATATTTCTGACACTTAACTGATCATAGTTAATTTTAAAAATCTTGATATTGTGCTCACTAAAGGAAGTAAACCAATTTGGCAGTCCTTTTAACACGGAAAGTTATTGTATAAGTGATCCTCCGTTATGGGCCCTCTGAGGGAAATGTAGCACAGAGTAACATCCAACATAAGAACCATTAGGAGAAAGCATACAGTACTTGAAAGACTTCTAAACCTTTTTAAGTTTTATTTTTATTGCACTCATTAACTTAGCAAACTATGATCAATGGAAGAGTCAGGGCTCAATGAAAATAAGGGAGGAGAAAGGCAACTTAGTGGAGGAAACAGCTGGATAGTATAAGATTTCTTTAATCTCAGAGGAGGCAGGTGAGGAAAGGTTAAAATAAGCAAATATATATTAGAACTACCAAAAGGAAACCAAGAAGGAACTTGAGACTGAAAAGGAACTGAACTACCTTGATCATAAGAATGGAACAAACTTTATTTTGGAAAAAAATTCAGAAGATGCAAAAGGGCAAGTAAGTAAAAGAAAATATGTGGGATTTTGTAAGATGAACAATTCCCCATGTGCGGACTCCCTATACCACATGCTATTCTTAGCTAAACACAGACAGGCAACCTGCTCACAAATTTCACTTATGTCAAACTATAACCAGCTGCTAGGAGAAGTACATATCCAAACTAGGCGATTCTTCCTCTGATATTTTTCTGTCCATCAGGAAACTAATAAATGACAGACATGTACCTGCAATCTATCACTCCATGGGCTCATACATCGTTCCAAAATGCCATGTTATCTGGGTTTGTAGCTTTAAAAACAGTGAGCTGATCATATTACATATACTTGCTTGATCTCTGCTTTGCTAAATCCTCTATGTCAGAGTTCAGGAAAGTTCACTCTCTTGACAAGTACATTAGCAGTTCTATGCTGGGATCTTGCTGGAGCACAACATGGTACGTACACTGGGACAAAACAGATTATAGAACACCTCTTGTAAAGCATAGTGTTGGGAACTCATGGGAAATGGTACAATTCCTTTGGCTGGTACCAAAACGCATTTTCCACTACCGTGTGTCATTTTACAAAATAGTCCTCTGTGTGTTGCCTGTGAGAATTTTTCAAATATAGAAGAGCTTGCTCCTTGCAAAGGAAGGTTACAAGACTATTCAGCGTCTTGAGTGATAGAAGGGTGTTAAACAATTGTCCTTGATACAAAAATAGAGCCAGATGGGAGAAAACAAAACATCTTGGTATTATGAGCCATCCGTTACAGCATTTCACAATCTGTTAATGACCAAAAGCTGTATCTTGGTCTATTCTATGTACCTAGTGGTTTTAAAATTACTTCCTACACAACTAGCATTTTTATAGCACATTCACTTAGGATAACATCTTAAGAGTCTTTCACAGTGAAAAGGTTGGATGCTAAGCAAGGGAGAAGGGAGGTGAGGTCGAGGATGTCCATTTTGCGGTCAGATCCTACAAAATAATCCTTGCATTTTGTACAATGCCTAATAAAGTAAAATGTCTCAAAGCGCTTCACAGCACTTTACTATGAACTGTAGTGACTGTAAATGTGTAGGCAAACATGACAACTAATTTGTACACAGAAATATCCCACTTCCATGAAGTGAATTAACATTTTTGTGGATTGTTGGCCAGGAGAACTTGTTTCATGGATAAACGTTTGTGGGGTTTTCTGCACGTGTGCAATGCACAGGAATGATGTTATCAACAAACTAAGAACTTAAGCAACAGCCACTTTTCAGTGTGGGAAGCCAGCTAGTCAATGTCGGATGTCAAGTACACCATTTTTCCAGTTAGCGCAGGACCACAGCAGATCTCCACTCTAAGCAAGAACTGTGTTTAACCAAACGCGGCCATACCAGGGTTCCCCTATAGATAAGGGCACAGAGTTTACAGCACACCCATCAGTAAGAAGTAATTATTACACCCGGAATAATTTGCCCTATTATTATTACTATTATGATGTGGAGTCCTGTAACTCAGTGATTGGAGCACTCGCCTTGCAAGCAAAGGACATGGGTTCGATTCCCAGCAGGGTAAAATGTTGGCCAAGTTTCCTTACTCCAAATGCCTGATTACCTAGCAGTAAGTAGGAACCCGGTTGTTAGTCGTTTGGTGGATCGCTTTTCCGGGTGTAATAATTCCTTTAAAAAAAATAATACATTGGTCACTCAATCCACGATTGTTTGTGGGACACTACTGTGCACAGTTGGCTGCCGTGTTTCACCCACAAAACATACAGTCAATTCACTTTACAGTATATTCTGTGAAGTGCTTTGAGACATCTTAAATACGTGATAAGGCGCTATATCAAATGCAAGGTTTATTATTATTAGAATCAGTAAGTGTAGTCTTTTAAGTCATGGTTTAAGTTTAATGTTTAAGTTTAATGTGAAAACAGTTCAGTTCTTACAGGCAAGACAACTGCTACCTCTTACATAAAAACAGTTTTATTTGAATCAGCTGAAGCAGGAAGACTAGTGCTTCTTGGAGTCTTTGGTTGTCGCAACAACAACAACAAGATTGCATTTATAGAGCGCCTTTCACGTCGGGAGGACGTCCCAAGGCGCTGGACAGTTGGGTCGGGACCCGAGCAGGGGGGAAACGGTCAGGGTGAGGGGAGGGAAGGGAGGGAGCGAGGAGGGGTAAAGAGTCGAGAGGGGAGCTGAAGGCACAGTTGAAGAGAAGTATAGCACCAAAGGAGATGCTCAGAAAGCTTCAGTACAGTGACAAGTGCATTGTTGACACTGCAGTTACTAAATAAGAGGATGTGTTTCAATAAGAAACTGAAATGGAAGTAAGTGACTGACATTGGTGAGTAACTCACCTTTCATACTATTCAAATAAAAATAGGCAAATGGGATTATTTCAGTATCTGCAATACTGAACAAGGATTAACCCAGGTACCTGACAATCACCATCATGGGAACATACTCATGCAACATTCTAGTTACTGTGAAGCACTGTACTGTTTGAACACTATTTTTACCCATTAATTAGCAATCATAATGAAACACAGGAAAACCAAGTTAAGATCAAAACAATTGTCTGCCTTGGGAATAACAAACTAATGAGCCAAAAAAATTAACAAAAAACATGAATTTTTGTGTGGATTTCCTATCATTGGATGTCACTTTGTAAATACACTCTACATTAACGCAGCAGGAGACGAGCACAAGTACATCACAAGATGGACAATACAGTGCTTAAGTAATTCATCACATGACCAGCAGCACCTCCAAGTTTCCAATGTAAATTCCTGAAGGTGAGCAACTATTTTGGCAGAATATATATTTTTTTAAAAAATCAGATATCTTAAAGAATCCTCCAGTCATTCGTCATCACTTTTTTATGCAATGCTCCTTATAACATAACCTAAAAAGGCCGAAACAAAATACCAACTATAGAATTCACCACACAATGCAAGGTCATGCTTATATTTCATATAAATAATGGGGGCTGCATATATAGCTCCGATTGATAACTAGCTGAATGTTGATGCTCAAGTTTACCATCTTACTCTCATAACTAGCATCTCAGAATACTAACCTCTTTCTGCCGTCCAACAAACCTAACTTTTCTGTAGTCCGCCTCATCATAAACCTGAGGTAGTAGACAAAACATATAGAGATTAGAAAGATTATCTGTGAACATGAAATATCATGGATTTTAAAACAGTTTGTAAGATTCTGGAGAAAGCATTTCATTGAACTAAATTGGTTAATGCAGTAACTGTAATTATTACAAACAAAACTATCCAGTCAAAACTCAAATTCCATCCTTGGAGTTCAGCAGAGAGGTTATTTCTAAGCCATCTTTCAAAATGGTGAAAACTTGAGTTTGAGCAGAAAATTTCCTGTGACAAGAGATCTGTAAGAAAACTGATAAGATCTGACTATACCGAGGGTAGCAATGGTGGCAATTAATACCATTCGACAGACTCAATAGTTCGTGCTCATGTAGCTATGGAATGCATTGAGATAAGGTAACCTATGTTCACCCGGAAAACTAACACTCTACCACCCAACACGGTGCATCATTGCCTGCTGTCATTTTCAAAGAAGATCTCAGCTCCTCCTCCAAATGGATTGCAGTGCTACCATTCTTCAGGAAGTTTCTGGTTCAATTTGCCCAACATTGTGCCACCAATAAAATATGGAATTTCCTTATTCCACCATCCATTTTACAAAAGCTTTTTATAGAATCATCTTCCATTTCATCTATATTGGCCAAATATAATGAATCAGCCTGCCTTAGTTAGTAGCACTCTCTCCTCCAAGTCAGAAGGTTGTAGGTTCAAACCACATATTAAGTTTTGAACTCACACATTCGAGGCTGACAGTCCAATACACTGCTGTGGAAGCTCTGCATTATCGGAGGGACCATTCTTCGGATGACACATTAAACTGAGATCTCATCTGCTCATTTGAGTACACATTAAAAGATCACTTGGCATCACTACTCGAAAAAAGAATTATTTTAAAATTAAATTTTAAATGTTGTTCTACATTTCAATACATTCCAAAGTCTGGGCAGGGCTTATTGTTTAGAGAAGTGATTATGTGACAAAAATGAGCACCAATACGTTGATAGCTGTGAGTGTCCCAGGCACGTCACATTTAGTGACAGACCTGGGCACTGAGAATTTAGTTTGTGTCCTCATAGCAGTCCTGTAGCTCAGTGGTTAGAGCACTCGCTTTGCAAGCGAAACACCTGGGTTTAATTCCAGGCAGAACGAAACTTTGGGCAAGTTTCCTTACTCCACACGCCTAATAATAATCCCTCCAAAACAAAACAATAATAAATTGGTCATTTTCAATCCACAACTGTTTGTGGGACACTGCTGTGCGCAATTGGCTGCCGCGTTCGCCCACAAATATACAGTCAATTCACTTTGCAGCATATTCTGTGAAGCGCTTTGAGACGTCGAGGAGACATGAAAAGCGCTATATCAAATGCAAGGATTATTATTATTATAGCTTATTTAAACATTGTCTTTAAAGATACTTACAAGTTATATTGCCATTTTAGAAAAAGAACTAGTGAAAGTATTCCCATGCTAACTGCATTGTGTTTCACAGGTTTACAAGACACCTTTCTATTTGTGCGTATATATTTTATACAGTAAACAACAACAACAATTTGCAGTTATATAGCGCCCTCCACCAGGTTAGTGTCTCAGAGTGCTTAAACAAAGATATCTGCTAGCTCCTTCTTTTGTAGCGTTTGTCGTCCAATAAAAACAGTGATTTTTCGCATATCACAAAAGAATTTCCACTTTCTGATCAAATGTAATGTTCTGTATACTCTCCTGTTAAAAATAATAATAGTCCTTGCATTTGATATAGCGACTAATCATGCCTTTGAGAGGTCTCAAAGCGCTTCACAGAATACACTGTAGAGTGAATTAACTGTATATTTTGTGGGCCAAAGCCGGCAACCAATTGCAGACAGTAATATCCCACAATCAGACATGGATTGAGTGACCAAATTTTTTTTTGAAGGGATTATTATCCCCGGAAAGCGATCTGCCAATCGACTAACAATTGGGTTCCTACTTACTGCTAGGTAAACAGAGGTATGTGGAGTAACAACAACAACATTTTGTATAGCGCCTTTCACGTCGGGAGGACTTACTTGAAAGGAAACTTACTGCCCGGGAATTGAACCTGGGTCCTATCGCTTGCAAGGTGAGTGCTCTAACCAATACACTGTCACAGAAATAGGATATGAAACCTTCTTGTGTCAAAATAACTATTCCTGTTTATTTCATGGATTTTTTGGTGTTGCATTTAATATAATTATGGAAAATAGGCATTGCAAATTAATTGCAGGTGTCAGAAGATGGCTCAGGATTTAAACTGGTAAATGTGGTTAAGATGAGTAAATATCAATTCAAAATTTAATTTCCTGCTCAATCATTCTGGGAGATCTGCATTGTTCAGCGGTGCTGTCACCAGACCATTCAAACAGTGCTCACGGCAGTACAGCAATTGTGCACTCTGCACTATATTTTGTAGATATAGCGCACAGTTTCAAAAATACCAACATTCCAAACCTGAGAAGAATATAATAAATAGTGTGAAATGAAAATACGCTTGTAATCCTTTAAGCTTTTGGCAAAAGACCTTTCTTCAATGGAAAGCAGTGAATACAAATACACTGTTCTTACTGAAGCTTTTAGACCATAACATAATTGACTATATTGTTCTGCATTAGAATAACTAGAAGTTTCAACAAGTGGATTACATGTTTTAGCAAGTACAAGATTATAAAAGGAAGAATCTGGAAGTTAGCACATTTCTTTCCTCCACTGTAAGAACACAATATGTGCAAACATTACATGATCCTAATCTAAGGGTTTGTATAATTAATTCTTTTTTATCAAAAATCTCATTTTGTTTTTTTTTAAAAAATAGTTTCCTTGAAAGTTTGGAAAGTTTATCAGAGACAGTGAAAGTCCTAAATTTGATTTCCAGTTTGCACTGTTAACATAATTTTAGTCAAAGGTGACAGAAGGGGCACTACAATTGGTCGTAACAGCTCAATCCATTTTTTCTATTATTACATTCTTTTCATTTTAAATTTTGTTAAATTCTTGTGTTATATTTTATTATATTAAGGTTTGGAATACTGGTATTTTGAATTAATAATTAAGTTAAGGTGAAGGTGAAAGTTAACCAGAGTTATCCAGCAACTTTGGCTGGAGATACTCATGTATACAGGTCAATTGAGAACAGAATTGGGCTCAGTTGTAAAGCCAAATACCATTGAATGTGCTGACACTCATTGTCAATGTTTATAGATGAGAAGGTACTGTAACAGACTTCAAATTTACAGTACTAACATTTGATCAAAGACGGAGCGCTGAGGTTCAGTGCTCACGTGGTCTGGGATTAGGACTTCAATCTGATCCATAATGATGGAAGACAAGTCTTCTCTCAATCCTCTCCAACTGTGTCACTCCAAGTGAGTTTATACTTTAAATCCAGTTGAGAGTGAGAGCATTTCAACAGCACAAAAAGGTAACCAACAACAATTTGCACTTATACAGCACCCTCCACGCAGGGCAGCGTCTCAGAGCGCTTAAACCACATACTGTCATTAATTGCCAACTCCACTCAGAGATACCATATTGATGACTATCGAAAAAATATCATTCTGGTGAGTGTTGCATATATCAGAGTTACTCTTCTGCAAATACCAACTGGAAAGTGTATGTGGTATCAAATCCATGCTATACCTCACCTGGATGTGGCAAATATTGGCAATAGATATCAGAAGTACAATACAAAATGATAATACAAAACTACATTTGTATAGCGCCTTTCACGTCAGTAGGAAGTCCCAAGTAGAATACAAATGAACAGAAGAAAACATTTGAAACTGTCTTTATGTATATCAGTTGAAGAGCTCTCCAATGAAATAAAGCTCATCCCCCTCCTCCCCTGGAACTAATCTGTTCACAGCCCACAAATGTACAATTTATAGGATAGCTTTTCAACTTCCCCATTTAAGGTATCAGTACTTCAAACAACTTTTACATTATCTATACTGAATATAAACATTTATATATATTATATACATATAGGAACATAGAAACAGGAGTAGGCCATTCAGCCCCTCGAGCCTATTCCGCCATTCTATAAGATCATCGCTGATCTGTACCTCAATACCAATTACCCATCTTTGCTGCATATCAATTGATACCCTTACCTAACAAAAATGTATCCACTTTGATCTTGAAAATTTGAATGGATCCAGCACCCACAGCCTTTTTGGGGAGAGAGTTCCAGTTTCCCACCATTCTTTGGGTGAAAAAATGCCTCCTGATTTCACTCCTAAATGGTCTAGTTCTAATTTTAGGATTATTCCCCCTTGTTTTGGATTCCCCCACCAGAGGAAATAGTTTCTCTGTCGCTACCCTATTAAATCCCTTTATTATTTTAAACCCCTCAATCAGATCACTCCTCAACCTTCTAAACTCAAGGGAATAGAGACCAGGTTTATGCAACTTGTCCTCACAATTCAACCCTTTGAGCGGTGGTATCATTTTGGTGAATCTGCGCTTGGCAGACACCGGCCTGCTTCAGGTCCCTCGCACTTCCCACCCCACCATTGATGGTCGGGCATTCAGCATCCACACTGCTAGAATTTCTTCGCCTCATCCCCTCTCTTGCCTCCTTCAAATCTCATCGAAAAACCTTCCTCTTCGATCGTTCCTTCGACCGCCCTCCCACCCCCACTGCCCTCCTCCCCTCCGGACCCCAACACCCAGCTCGGGTCCAAAAAGCCCTGACTGTCTATCTAGCGCCCTGGGACATCTTCCCGATGTGAAGGGCGCCATACAAGTGTAATTTGTTGTTGTTGTTACACCAAGCAAACCTCAGGAATCTGCAGCCATTGTGAACCCAGCCATTGTGCGAGATACAGCAAATGGTACATAAATGCACGTTCTGCAGCTGCATTTCTAAAAACAAATGATGTCTCACAAGCGAATTCCAAATGAGAATATGCCCTTCAGTCATCAACACAGAGCCGATGGGAAGGAGCAAAGAAAACACACCTCACCCCCTGTTAGCAATGTCCCATGTACCTCCATCCCCATACATACCCCCCCCCCCCCCCCCACACACACACCAACCCTCACATCCACACACCCCACACACACCAACCCCCCCCCCCCCACACACACACCACCCCCCCCCCCCACACACACACACACCAACCCCCCCCCCCACACACACCAACCCCCCCCCCACACACCCCACACACACACCAACCCCCCCCACACACCCCACACACACACCAACCCCCCCCCACACACACACCAACCCTCACATCCACACACCCCACACACACACACCAACCCCCCCCACACACACCAACCCTCACATCCACACACCCCACACACACACCAACCCTCACATCCACACACACCAACCCCCCCCCACACACACACCAACCCTCACATCCACACACCCCCAAACACACCAACCCCCCCCCCACACACACCCCACACACACACCAACCCTCACATCCACACACCCCACACACACACCACCCCCCCCCACACACACCACCCCCCCCCCACACACACACACCAACCCCCCCCACACACACACACCAACCCCCCCCCCACACACACACCAACCCCCCCCACACACACACACCAACCCTCACATCCACACACCCCACACACACACCAACCCTCACATCCACACACACACCAACCCCCCCCCAACACACACACCAACCCTCACATCCACACACCCCACACACACACCAACCCCCCCCCCCACACCAACCCCCCCCCACACACCAACCCCCCCCACACCAACCCCACACACTGCTGTCGGTGTAGAGCGGCCCCGGGGTGGGTGGCTCTCGGTACCTGGCCGGTGTGAGTTACTTTCTCCGCTCCCCGCGGGTGGTGAGTGGTGAGGGCCGCGGCCTGGAGCCGGAGGCTGTGCCCGGGTCGGGCTGTCAGGAGCCGCAGCCGATTACAGCAGCGAACAGCCGCCATCTTACCCCACAGTCACTGCTGACCTTCAACAGCGCCGCCGGGTCCTAGCGCCGGCCTCCCCCACCCTCCCAGTCACTACACTGCACCTGACAGCCCAGTCACTGCACTGCACCTGACAGCCGAGTCACTGCACTGCACCTGACAGCTCAGTCACTGCACTGTACCTGACAGCCCAGTCACTGCACTGCACCTGACAGCCCAGTCACACTGCACCTGACAGCCCAGTCACTACACTGCACCTGACAGCCCAGTCACACTGTACCTGACAGCCCAGTCACACTGTACCTGACAGTCCAGTCACTACACTGTAGCTGACAGCCCAGTCACTACACTGTACCTGACAGTCCAGTCACTGCACTGTACCTGACAGCCCAGTCACACTGTACCTGACAGTCCAGTCACTACACTGTACATGCAGTCACATCACATTCAGACACTGGACTGCACCTGAGCGACATTTCAAAAGGTGTAATTTTCTCAAGTAATCAAGTATCATCTGCCAGACTGACAGGAGTATTTATTGAAAAAAAACACATTTTCTCTTTGCCACTTGTGTCTGGTAGATTTGATGGCATCGGTTGATACTGGGATACAGGTAACACATGGGTCTCAGGTTAGCCCAGACATGGGTGTCTTTAAAACAGTGGCATGCAATATAATTTAACAAAGATGAGTGATTATTGCTTCTAATGAGAGATAGAGAGACCAGACTCACTACAAAGCTGTTATCACTCCAATATCTGCTGCTCCATGCAAATTAGTGCAGTCCAACTTCACATCACCAGCATTTAGGGAGAACTTCATTTCACGCAGTGATTATTAAATTATTTAAAGACTTTATTTATTATTATTATTAAAATTATTTATTAACGGTCATTATTAAAGACTTGAATAAATCTTTGCATTGGAGTGCAGTCCAGTAGTGTACTGTGGAGTCCTGTAGTGTACTGTGGAGTCCAGTAGTGTACTGTGGAGTCCAGTAGTGTACTGTGGAGTCCAGTAGTGTACTGTGGAGTCCAGTAGTGTACTGTGGAGTCCAGTAGTGCTGTGGAGTCCTGTAGTGTACTGTGGAGTCCTGTAGTGTACTGTGGAGTCCAGTAGTGCTGTGGAGTCCTGTAGTGCTGTGGAGTCCTGTAGTGTACTGTGGAGTCCTGTAGTGTACTGTGGAGTCCTGTAGTGTACTGTGGAGTCCTGTAGTGTACTGTGGAGTCCTGTAGTGCTGTGGAGTCCTGTAGTGTACTGTGGAGTCCAGTAGTGCTGTGGAGTCCAGTAGTGTACTGTGGAGTCCAGTAGTGCTGTGGAGTCCAGTAGTGTACTGTGGAGTCCTGTAGTGTACTGTGGAGTACTGTAGTGCTGTGGAGTCCTGTAGTGTACTGTGGAGTCCTATAGTGTACTGTGGAGTCCAGTAGTGCTGTGGAGTCCTGTAGTGTACTGTGGAGTCCTGTAGTGTACTGTGGAGTCCAGTAGTGCTGTGGAGTCCTGTAGTGTACTGTGGAGTCCTGTAGTGTACTGTGGAGTCCTGTAGTGTACTGTGGAGTCCTGTAGTGTACTGTGGAGTCCTGTAGTGCTGTGGAGTCCTGTAGTGTACTGTGGAGTCCAGTAGTGCTGTGGAGTCCAGTAGTGTACTGTGGAGTCCAGTAGTGCTGTGGAGTCCAGTAGTGTACTGTGGAGTCCTGTAGTGTACTGTGGAGTACTGTAGTGCTGTGGAGTCCTGTAGTGTACTGTGGAGTCCAGTAGTGCTGTGGAGTCCAGTAGTGCTGTGGAGTCCAGTAGTGTACTGTGGAGTCCAGTAGTGCTGTGGAGTCCAGTAGTGTACTGTGGAGTCCTGTAGTGTACTGTGGAGTCCAGTAGTGCTGTGGAGTCCAGTAGTGTACTGTGGAGTCCAGTAGTGCTGTGGAGTCCTGTAGTGTACTGTGGAGTCCTGTAGTGTATGGGTTGGAGCATTTGCCTTGCAAGCGAGGACCTGGGTTTGATTCCCGGCAGAGCCAAACGTTGGGCAAGTTTCCTTACCCCACGCGCCTGTTTACCCAGCATTAAATAGGAACCCGGTTGTTAGTCGATTGGCGGATCGCTTTTCCGGGGGGAAATAATCCTTTTTAAAAAATAAATTGGGTCACTTAATCAATCCACGACTGTTTGTGAGACGCTGCTGCGCGCAAGTGGCTGCCGCGTTTCTCCCACAAAATCTACAGTCAATTCCCTTTTGCAGTGTATTCTGTGAAGCGCTTTGCGACGTCTCGGAGCTGTGATAAGGCCAAGACTATACGGAACGCGAGGATTATTATTATTGTTTGTGGCGGGAGGTAAGCGCAGACGGGCTCTAGGACCCGGCGGCGCCGGCACTCGCTGCTCCTCAATGTCACTGGCGGCATTTCCCGGCGTCCCTCGCTGGCGCAGCGGTTGCCGCCCGCGCATGCGTGTCGGCGTCAGTCTCGGTGGCTGTTGAGGGCAACGGAGGAAGCGGCAGGTGGGTGAGGGTACCACGTCACAATGGAAGCCGGTCTGGCGCTCACTGGCACCTGGAGGTTGTTACCAGGGAGACCGAGAGAGGCCCGAGGCCTGGGCAGCGCCTCCGCCACAGTGACAGAGAGAGAGAGAGAGAGACCGGGGCAGCGCCTCCGCCACAGTGACAGAGAGAGAGAGAGAGACCGGGGCAGAGCCTCCGCCACAGTGACAACAACCACAACAACGCTGAGCAGTCAGGTGTCGGGGCCCGAGCATGGGGGGGAGGGGTGGTGTAGGGGTGAGGGAAGGCAGAGAGGTGGGAGGGAGACCAAAGGAACGGTCGAAGAGAAGGGTCTTGAGACCACGACCTTGAAGGAGGCACAGGGGGGAAGAGAGGCGAAGGGACCGTGGGATGGAGTTCCAGAGTGTGGGGGCAGAGAGGCTGAAAGCCCGGCCACTGATGGTAGGGCGGGTCAGGCGGGAGACATGGAGCAGGGCCGGAGCCCACTGACCGGAGGGAGTGGGCAGGTTGGTAGGGAGTTAGCAGGTCAGAGAGGTAGGAGGGGGCAACGCCATGGAGGGCCTTATAGGTGAGGACGAGGATCTTGAACTCGATCCTCTGGGGGATGGGGAGCCAGTGGAGTTGGGAGAGGGTGGGAGTGATGGGGTCACGGAGTCTGGTGCGTGAGAGTACATGAGCTGCAGAGCTTTGGATGATCTGCAGCTTGTGAAGGGAAGGGTTGGGAAGGCCGATGAGGAGGGAGTTCCCGTAATCGAGCCTTGATGTGACAAATGTGTGGGTGAGGGTTTGGGCAGCCTGAGGGGTGAGGCAGTGGCGGAGTCTGGCAATGTTGCGGAGGTGGTGGTAGGCAGTTCCGGTCATGGCGCGGATGTGGGGGAGAAAGGACAGTTCAGGGTCAAACAAGACACCCAGGTCCTGACTGGCTTAGTGAGGTTGAGTGTGCAGCCGTGGAGGCTGATGCTGCCAGCGCCTGAGGTGCGGGAGCGGTGGCACGTGCCAATCGGGAGGGCCTCGGTCTTGCTGACGTTGAGTTGGAGAAAGTTGGCCCTCGTCCAGGACTTGGATGTCGGACAGGCAGTCGGTCAGGACGCCAGTGGTCCTGGAGTTCAGGGTGGAGGCAGAGAGGTAGAGTTGGGTGTCATCCGCCTTCATGTGGAAATTTACCCCATGTCTGCGGATGATGTCACCAAGCGGGAGCATATAGAGAGAGAGAGAGACCAGGGATAGAGCCTCACACAGTGACAGAGAGAGAGAGACCGGGGCAGAGCCTCAGTCACAGTGACAGAGAGAGAGACCGGGGCAGAGCCTCAGTCACAATGACAGAGAGAGAGACCGGGGTAGAGCCTCACACAGTGACAGAGAGAGAGAGACCGGGGCAGAGCCTCAGTCACAGTGACAGAGAGAGAGAGACCGGGGCAGAGCCTCAGTCACAGAGATAGAGACCGGGGCAGAGCCTCAGTCACAGTGACAGAGCGAGAGAGACCGGGGCAGAGCCTCACACAGTGACAGAGAGAGAGAGACCGGGGCAGAGCCTCACACAGTGACAGAGAGAGAGAGAGACCAGGAGCAGAGCCTCAGTCACAGTGAGAGAGCGAGAGAGAGGCCAGGAGCAGACCCTCAGTCACAGTGAGAGAAAAGGGGAAGATAGGCAATCACCTGACAGCACAGCCAACCTGTCTCCATTGCAGGACCAGGAAGGGCAGACTGAGGTCAGGGAATCCAGCCACTCAGCTCCTGTTAACCCTGCAAGCAAAGCTCTAATGGGTAGGGTGGTTCTAGCTGGATAAGTAGCAGGAAAGTTTGCCAAACAGTACTATCAATGCAGTTTTAGCTGGTTAGACTCCAGCAGTTCCCCAACACACAACCTGGGGTCCCAAGCCATGGCTTTTGCCAACCTGCACCTAATACGTTCCGGTATTAGATAAGAAGGATGTGTCCCTCCAGGGAGAGAGAGTGTTTTATTCCAACAATGTATCTCTGGGATTTCCATGTGTAAGTGGGATGCATGGAGATCTCAGCTTGGCTCGATACTCTGATGCCCAATAGTGGGCACACATGTGTACAACTAGTAGAGGGTACTTTCGAGGACCAGGAGGAGACAAGGTTCCTACCTTGTCTAATTTTTCCTTCCCTAACCCTGTGAAGGCTGGGGCCAATTCAGCTTCATGCAGACTTGGTTGAGACCAACAAAATCAGCACAGATTTCTCCAGCCCCTGAACAGTATTGTGCTGTGTTCCTCAGGGCTATGTCCTTGGCCCTCTCTTCAACTTATATATGCTCCCTCTTGGTGACATCACCTGCAGACATGGAATCAACTTTCACAAGTATGCTAATGATACCCAACTATCTCTCTGCCTTCACCTTCAATTCCAGGACCATTGCTGTCCTGACAGAATGTCTATCAGACATCAAGTCCTGGGTGAGAGTTAACTTTCTCCAGTTTAATATCAATACACCCGTTTCCCTCCTGATTGGCTCCTGTCAGTGCCACCACATCTCAGGCACTGGCAGCATCACCATTCACACTCCACCTCACTGAGCCAGTCAGGAACCTTGACGTCTTGTTTGACCCCCAACTGCCCCTTCTACCCCACATCCATGCTGTGATCCGCTCTGCCTTCCCCCACCTCCACAACATCGCCCAGTTCCTCCACTGCCTCAACCCTCAGGCCGTTGAAATCCTCATACATGTGTCCGTCACATCAAGGCTCAACTATGCCAACTCCCTGCTTGTCGGCCTTACCAACTCTTCCTTCCACAAGCTACAGATACTTCAGAACTGCAGTTCATGTCCTCTCCCGAACCAGACTTCATGACCCCATCACCCCCACCCTCGCCTGGCTCCACTGGCTCTCCATCCCCCAGAGGATAAAGTTCAAAATCCTCATCCTCGCCTTTGAGGCCCTCCACGTCCTTACCCCTTTCTACCTTTGTGACCTACTAACCCCATATCAACCTGTCCGCTACTTCCACTCAGCAGGCTCCGGCCTGCTCCATGTCCATGGCCCGCCTCGCTCCCTCCCTCGCCTCCTTCAAGGCACACCTCAAGACCCTCATCTTCGACGACGCTTTCGTCCACCCTCCACCCTCCCTGATCCCAACCACCCCGGCTCAGGTCCAAATCCCTGACTGTCCAGCACCTTGGGACGTCCTCCTGACATGAAGGGCGCTATCCAAATGTAATTTTGTAATGTTTTATATATCAGTGTTTTTCATTTTTATTTAAAACTGTGCCCCTTTTGTCTGATGGTTTCTGCTCAAGTAACCCTTTACAATTTTCGCTCTGAATGGTACTGCAGTTGCAACAAAATGCAGAATAATCTAGTTGATTGACATGCACTTGAACCAGTGAAACCGCAAAGCTGCAGCAAAGTCGATGCCTCCCTCCGCTCACCCATTGAGCTTGCAGAGGGGAGGGGCAGGAATTTGGCTGAGTGGCACCTCACAGGGATAGCCCCCCCCCCCCCCCATTGAAATTCCATAGACTCGGGGAACCCACTATCACCCTTAGAAATACCTCTTTGAGTATACAGAGAGGGGTGAAGATGTGGAATGCACTGTCCAGGAAATTAGTGACGGACGATTGAGTCAGAAAATTCAAGAGAGAATTCAATTAAGGTGGGAGAGAGGAAATCAGTTTTGTTTTTAGTATTTTATATTTAGACGGGTCAATGGGTCAGGACTGGGAGGGATATTTTTTGTCTCTGTACATCCCTATTTCTTTGTCAGGGTTCAAAATACTGCAGTTTACAGGAGGAAGATGAGGATGTTTACAATCTTCAGGATCTTAGAGAAGAATGTATAAGTGCAGCGAGTCTTTATTCAGCATAACTACAGGATCGTAAGAAGCTGGGCAGTCACATTGGAAGTGGCGTGCGGAGTGAGCCAATGACCCGAAAGTAGGACAGGCTTTCACTGATTCATTATAATGTAGCATTTCGCCTTGAGAACTTTGAGACATCTCCACGTGTGATAAGTCGCTGTATCAAATGCAAGCATTATTATTATATCATTTTATGCACCTGAAACATTGAGTCTTACCCTATAGTATATTTAGATTAAAAGCCTCAAGTGAAATTAGCTGGCAGGATCACTTTGATTCATTGATGTTTATAAGAAAAAATAAATTACAAGGGTCTGTGAATGACAAATTGGTGATTGTTTCTAAAGCATGTACATTTTATTCCAGTTTCTAACAGGATGGCCTCCTCTTTTGTGAAGAATCTCCTCCAGGTGATCAGCAAACCTTTGTGGCAGCTGAACAGAAACTCAATGCTCCATTCGCCATCTGTCTCCTCTGTGGTATACAGATGTTTGAGCACTGCAGTGACAATGAAACCCAACATTTGGCCAGGTCCGTATGAGGTTGTCAGACCTGCCGCTGTCACATTTCTTGGACCAAATCAACTGCAATCCGTGCAACAAAGCGTAGGAATGAAAACAAAGACTGCCTTAAAGAAACGCTGCAAAGACTGTTTCTTTGTGCGTAGGCGAGGACACATGTTTGTGTACTGCAAGACCCACCCCAGGCACAAACAAAGGCAAGGCTGACCTGAGAAGATGGTGTGAGCCAATTTAATTTGAACTTTAATTATCACAAATCACAATGTGGAAATTGATGTATAAGCAATGTCGAATTTTGTAATTTCATTAAATAAAAACCTGTTAAGTCAACCTTGTCTTGTTTTTTCCTCTTTGAATAAATACTATCAATGTAATTTCTAATTTTACAGATAATTAACCTCTATTTAGGTTTGAATAAATGGTATTCTGAGTGATCTTAATGTACTGCTGTGCTTTGTTTTTGGTAGGAAGATAGTCTCAAATGTGTGGCAGTTCAAATGAAGCATATCAAATAGATGAGGTTCAAGTAGGTATTTCTACAAAATATTTTATTTTAATAATTAATTTCAAATATGTATTACTTGGATCAAAAATCAGTACTATTGCTCTTATTCTAGACTAACTACATTTCGTAACTGCGCAGGTCGTTTCCCCTGTAAACGTGTGCACAGACTTTCAATCCTTGCTGCATGGGTGTCTGAATGAGTTGTAGTAAATTAATTCTACATGATGTGGTCCCATGACACTCCACCAAACTCTGTCCACATGGTACAGTCTAGAAACTTATCGAACTAATGTAAGACACCAATTCCACAGTGGAATTTCAATGAAAGATCCATTATAATACTAACATTTAGTGTCAAAAGACTCATTTTAGAGGTGAATCTATGAAGTTCTGTAAGAAACTTAACAAGATTAAATTACAACAAAATTACATTTGTATAGCGCCTTTCACGTCAGGAGCACATCCCAAGACTGGACAATCAGTGTTTCAGACCCAAGTTGGGGGTTGGGGAGGTTGGAGGGCAGGGGGGGAAGGAGGGTGACCGAAGGATGGTCGAAGAGGAGTTAAACTTAAAATTAACAATTAAACCCAGAACAATACTTTCAGAGCTACCCAATTCTGATTGACCTAGACAGCAGGATAGAAAGGCATAAGTTCAGGGTTATGAAGGACACATTTAGACAGACTAAGCATCTTTACAAGCTGGAGATAATCACTCGGAAAGGTGGTTTGAGGCCAGGAAGATGGTCTCAATTAACCCTTGATGCTGTAATGGAGTGGTTGTAGTTTGTTATAGAGGAAGGGTGAGATAAAATGACCTGAACGCCCACCCGAAATGAAAGGCGCGATATAAATGTAAATTTTTATACACAATAAATATTAGACATTGAGTCAATTTTCCCCTTTGGATCACTTAATAGAGTATTCTTCAGATTAAACTGTTGCAAAATATGAGCCATATAACTTATTATGTGAACAAAGCAGCTGTTGCAGGATTTGGTCCTGTACGTTTTGAGAGTAATTGTTTTTCATGTGCGAGTTTAACTAGCCAGTGGGCTCTTTTTCCTTTAACTTGAGGGCTGGGGAGGTGGGGGTGGATGAGAAATCACATCTGAGTTTGATCCTGTCTTCACCTGGTTTCCACATGTACTGCCCACGGGGTCTGCTGGAGAGCAATTAGGAGTGGGAACAATAGCTGATTTCCATCCCCCCCACCTCGCTTGAGGGCCAAATGTTGCTGCCAGCCTGCGTGAGGTTGGAGAGCTCAGTACAAAGCAGGGAGTTGCAACATCTTTAGGAAGAAAATAAATTTGTATTTCTAACTGGTACAAGTCAGGGCACCACATAAACATATTGCTCAAAGCTTATAAAAGCACCACATGTGACAGAGAATTCCAGGAACTGTAACAGTTGCATTCAGGAGGGTGAACCCATACCAAGCTGTATTTTTTTAAATCTTTATATGGTGTGGTTAATTTATTACAGTGTTACTTGAAGGAAAAGGTGGTTGTAATACATATCACTTAACTTTCCATTTCCTCCCTTTTGTGTTTACCCCTTTTCAAGCTACAACATGACACATCACATAATTTTGCTTGTTCAGGTAAACGTTAAAGATCCTATGGCACTATTCGAAAAGAGAAGGGAGTTTCTCCCGGTGTCCTAGCCAACAAATCCCCCAAATAAAATTGTTCACTCACCGAATGGCTGGTTCTGGGATATCGCTGTGTGCAACTGGCTGCCGCATTTTGTCCACAAAATAAATAGTTAATACACTTTACAGTAGAGTGGAGTCCTGTAGCTCAGTGGGTAGAGCACTTGCCTTGCAAGCGAGACACCTGGGTTCAATTCCAGGTAGGGTGAAACCTTGGACAAGTTTTCTTACTCCACACGCCTAATAATCCTTCCAAAACAAAACAATAATAAATTAATCATTCTCAATCCATGACTATTTGTGGGACACTGCTGTGCGCAATTGGCTGCCGCACTTCACCCAGAAATATACAGTCAATTCACTTCACAGTCTATTCTGTGAAGCACTTTCAGATGTTGAGAAGATGTGAAAAGCGCTATATCAAATGCAAGGATTATTATTAGATCCTGTGAAGTGCTTTGAGACGTCTCAATGACGTGATAAAATGACGTGATAAGGTGCTGATTCAAATGCAAGGATTATTACTGTTATTATTAAAGACCATTACATAAAGCCATAGCTTGATACTGGAATAGCTGTACAGGGATAGCTCCCTTATGTCACGATGACCAGAACTGCAGGCAGTTCTCAAAATGCAGCCTGACCAGAGCACTAAACCTTGAGAATAAATTTGCTTAATTCTAACAATTTTTATTTGGAAGAGAATCTTTTGTTTAAAATATGTTCATTTTGTACCCATATCAACTAGTTCTCTGCTCAAGAACTAGGTTAGTTAAATTATATGCCAATATCTCATCTTATCTGTTAGGTGTCAGCCTGGCTCATCTCTGGTTCAGATGGTTGTGGTTTCATGCTCACATCAGGACTTTGACTCATATAGTTTAGGCTGACACGCCAGTGTAGTGCTGAGAAAGCTCTGCATAATGATAATAATAATCCCTGCATTTGATATAGCATCTTATCACGTCTTCGAGACATCTCAAAGTGCTTCACAGAATGCATTCTTGGAGGTGCTGTGCTTCAGATGAAATGTTAAACTAAGGTCCTGTCTGCCTGCTCAGGTGAACATTAGATCCTTTGGCATGCCTTGAAAAGAGGAAGGAGTTTCTCCTGTTGTCCTAGTCAATAGCTACTGCATTGAAATTCTTGTTTCTTTGTTGGTTGCTACCAAGGATAAAAAACTCCAAGGACAGCAATTGTTGCAGCACAGCAAGGCTGAATGGATGTCAATGCCAATCAGGATTTATATTGTTCTATAAGTGGTATTGTCTCTGGGATAACTGAGACTCACCTGGATGTGCTGGTGGAACTAGAAGATATTCAGTCATTCAGAGTAGTGACAGTCAATTTAGCAGGAGAATATACCTAATAGAGACAATACCTCCCAGATACCGGTTTCTCAGACATATTGGTAGCCAGCAGATGGTTCTCTTATTGTGACGCACCTGACTCTTAAATCTAATCTCTGCAGGGAATGTGAGCCTCTGTTGTCAATTGCAGGAGGCTGAAGCAGATCCAACAAAAGCTATGCTATATGTGGCATGTGAGGCACTCTTGAAAGAAAAAACTCATAGTCCACCAAAGGGAAGTGCCTTTACACATAGGAGTCACCTGAACATTGTCCCAACATCAGTAACACCTTGAATGCCTGCTTCCTTCTTCCCTTTGAGAATTTGGGCATACTCTTGTGGGATATCAAAGTCAAAGGTTTAAAAAATTTGAGCATTCTTTTGTCAACGATTCATTTGTAGGTAATGAGACCTAGTATTTTATTTTTAGCACACTGGCTTTCTGATCACAGTTCTGGCATGGCAATGCAGCATAGTACTGCTTTACTGAAATGCTGCAAAGTTCTTTGTAGGCTTAACGTGAGGCATAAGCCATATATTTGGAGTTAGCTAATGTATCAGCAAAGAATTTGGCTCTTATACAATTAGGTCTGCAATGGTTGAGAGTTTCTATGTGATTGTTTATTCCATTTAAAGTTTCTGTGTACAAACAAAGCTCTTGGTTGCTTTACTAAAGAGCAATGTTACAGTTTCATTGACCACCAATGATGAACCTGGAGCTAAAATAATGCGAAACATGCATCCACATAAAAATGTATTTAAGGTGCGTACCCTCTGACTGGTAGTGATTAACATTGTGATTGTTTTGTAGGTAACTCGTATTTTTTGTTCTCTGGAACATTATAGATGATACCTGCAGGGTTGTAGCTTTCTGCAGAAAAGATGTGAGATTAAGAAGTTATTCTCTGCCATTGAGTTATAGGAAGTAAATATCAGTTTGAGGTAACAATAAGTACCTGTAAAACAGAGCTACCGAAAAGACTTGATCAAATGACATTATTAAACTCCCAAATCTAATCAATGCACAGCAGATTTAAATTAATGTATCTGATTTATGTTGAATGCATAAGACAATTGAATCAGCCCATATTTGCCCTGATATCAAATCATCCAAGGATCATTTTTCTATGTAATTATTTTTAACGGAAACCTGCTAAACGATTATTATATTTTCACAGTCACAGACAAAATATATAGTTTATGAGATAATACAATCCTTCATTTATTTAAATGTTTAGCAATATGACACTACCTTTACATTTGTAAAGCAAATCAATGCTGATATTCAAAAATAAATTAGTGTGCATTTAAAAAACTACACTGTAATTAAGCTTTACATTTTTAAATATATAATTTAAGGAATAATACTGAAAGGTATAGGCATAGATGGAAAATAAAGTAAATAGAGGCCGATTTTGCCTAAAGGAATTTCTTACCTGGTACTTGGGGATAGATGATGTTGTCAAACCAACCCAAGAAAAAATGCTCTGAAAACAGATCAAGTTGGAACATTTCCACAAATCAGCATCATTGGTTCCTGCATTTCCTAATTGAGAAAGGATGTTAAAAAATAATGCCAAATTAACCTCATCATCACATCCCATCACATTGGAGTGTCAGACTAGACAATGTGAATTCAAAGTCCCAATGTGAGGCTTGAACTCACCTTTTGACTCACAGGTAAGAGTGCACCAAACTGAGCAAGACTGATACCTGCATGTTTAACCAAATGAACCTGACCACATATTATATAAACAACAAAATGTTATTTCTGATTGAGTCCACAAGTCATTTTGATGTGATATTGCACCCAAATTCAT